GTTTTGACATTTGTTATTTTGTGTTACATTGAGCGATTAATCTCGGTTTTACTGTAAAACCAAATGAGATCTTTTAAAAAACCCACCAATTAATGTGTACTACATTGTTGTCAAGATGAGACGCATTGGCAAATTGAAACAAACACCAAACAATTTACGATTCAAAAGGCCATGCTTTCAAATTGTGGAGACTTGCACAGATGGATAAAGTGGAAGAAGCCTCGCCCAAACATCGAAATTAAGTACACGTCGTAATACTGGCTTACTTTGTAATTATTGTCTCTGTGACGCTCTGCTAAACAAATACACAAATATGCACTTTTTGTAATGCTATCTGGGCAAGCAATCTTTTAAATAAGAGTCATTGTAAATTGCAGCTTCCAAGAGAAGATGCATGTGACGATGACCACTGAAATAAAAGACCAAGTCATCAGAAAAGATGTAAAAGATGACAGGTATTATGGTTTTATCTTTAGTGCGGTCGCCTTACTTACGGCCAGCCGCCATGACGCTTGTGAAGCTAACTCCACAAATGAACAAGGTGCTAAAGAAATCCAGCTGCACCCCTAACCAGCGGGACGTGGCCAGGAAGAGGAACCAGGCCCGGGTGTGCCCGTCCAGGTACCTATCGAAGTCCGCGATGAAGCGCCGCTGGACCTTGAACGCCCGGACAGTGCTTAGACCAGTCAGAGTGGCCGACAGGTGAGAAAACACCGGGCTGCGAGCTGCAAACAGGAACACAGTATAAGACAATATTTGTTATCTGAAACTAAGGGAGTGTATAACAGCGTAGTCATATTATACAGTAACAGGGATCCAAACGGAGTTCTATACTTGCACAGAGGGAATCTTGTACAATGGAAAACGGTGGAAATACCATCGTCTTTTACCAAATTAAATTAATGAGGAAACTCAGTTTGTAATAAAATCACGAATGCAAAATTACGGTAGCTTCACACATGCACAACGACATACTTCTGTAATCTGGGACTCAGATGTTCTTTTCAACTTTTGTTCTTGCGCCTTTCATCTTCAGAAAAGAAATGCAAAAATCCTTCAAGGGTTGTATAAAAAACATTGCAAATGGAAAATATAAGTCTTCTCAAATAATTTGCGAAACTGTGTGAAGTACACATGCCTACGTCCTTTAAATCCGACATATATTGCTGCCAATGTCTTCAACTTTACTTCAACAGGTTTGTGACCTCTCCAATAAGATAAACTGACATACCTACTCCTTCTAGCCTCTTGACGTCTCGAGAAGAGGCTAAGTAGTATCTCCTTGTGAGGAAAAACACGATGGCGATTGGGATGGTGAAACNGCTCGTAAACAAATACACAAATGCGCACTTTTTGTAATGCTATCTGAGCAATGTTTTAATAAGAGTCATTGTGAACCGCAGCTTCCAAGAAAAGATGCATGTGGCGATGACCACTAAAATGAAAGACCAAGTCATCAAAAAAGATGTAAAATATGACATGTATATCGGTTTTATCTGTAGTGCGGTCGCCCTACTTACGGCCAGCCGCCATGACGCTTGTGAAGCTAACCCCACAAATGAACAAGCTGCTAAAGAAATCCAGCTGCACCCCTAACCAGCGGGACGTGGCCAGGAAGAGGAACCAGGCCCGGGTGTGGCCGTCCAGGTACCCGTCGAAGTCCGCAACGAAGCGCCGCTGGACCTTGAACGCCCGGACAGTGCTTAGACCAGTCAGAGTGGCTGACAGGTGAGAAAACACGGGGCTGCGAGCTGCAAACAGGAACACAAGATAAGACAATATTTGTTATCTGAAACTGCATTTCACTAACGAACTAAAGGAGTGTAAGACAGCTTAGTCATATTATACGGTAAAGCTGAAGTACATCAGCATTTGATGGTACATGCATAAAGGTAAGATTACAAAGCAACATAATGACTTCAGACCTTCACTGTTTGATTCAAATTAACTTTTTAGGACAAAAAGTACTCGGAAACTACTCGGCCGAGTACTTTCCGAGTACTTTTCTCCTTAATTTAAAACTTAAATTTTACACAACCGGGAGTGTCTGAAGTCTAACATTTATTTTGTAATCTTACCTTTGCACATTTACCATCAAATGCCTGTGCACTCTGGCTTTTTTCCCTCTTACCCAGTTCAGTATTCGTATTTGGTACTCGGAAGGTACTCGACTACAACACTGGGAAATACCATCGTCTTTTACCAGATAAAATTGTTAAGGAAACTGAGTTTGTAATAAAGTAACGAATGCAAAAGTAGCTCCGGGCATTTACAACGACATACTTCTTTAATCTGTAAATCAGATGTTCTTTTCAACTTTTTTCTTGCGCCTTTCATCTTCAAGTAGGGAATTCAAAATCCTGCAAGGGTTGTTGAAAAACATTGCAAATGGAAAATATAAGTCGTCTCAACTAATTTGCGAAACTGTGTGAAGTACACATGCTTACGTCCTTTAAATCAGACATATATTGCTGCCAATGTCTTCAACTTTACTTCAACAGGTTTGTGACCTCTCCAATAAGATAAACTGACATACCTACTCCTTCTAGCCTCTTGACGTCCCGAGAAGAGGCTAAGTAGTATCTCCTTGTGAGGAAAAACACGATGGCGATTGGTATGGTGAAAG